TTCTAAGACCAAGGCGAATTTAATACGCAACTCGTGTTTTGCAAACACACATGATAATTTTCACCACTTGGCCAATACCCTCTTTTTAATAAATCGTAAATAAGAAACGAAGAATATCTACAATTCCTGGTCAATTCTTATGTTCAAAGATTTCCATCTTTTTTATTCAAACAGCATATGGAGTAACATATATTCCCCAATTACCCCAAATATAAATAAATAAGTAGGCTGCAACCCAGACAATATCAACAAAATGCCAATATCAAACTGATATTTGAATAGATGTTATATGAGATGGCCTATAGGACCCATAAACCATTATTTTTAAACAATAAATGTTAAACATAGTACCAGCCAACACATGAAGTCCATGGAATCCGGTAATTAAATAAAAACATGAACCGTAGATACCATCCTGTATTGTGAAACCAGCTCTCTTATACTCATAAAGTTGAAGACACCTAAATAAAATTCCCAAACCTACAGTAACACCTATTCTCCGCCAGTCATTGAACCCAGCCTTAACCGTTTTTACGGCCCAATTAGCTCTATAACCTGAACTAACAAGAATTGTAACCCCCAACAAAGGTAAAGCATAAGGATCTATTGGTATAATACCTACAATAGGTGGCCATATACAACCCAACTCATCCGACGGTACAAGAGCTCTATGGAAGAATGCTCAAAATAAACCAATAAAAAAGAAAATTTCAGATCAAATAAAAAGAGCAAAAGCTAATTTTATATTATTAACTTCTTGAGCTGTGTTTATTCCAACTAAAGTTTCCAACCTTAGTCTTTCTCACCAGGCCCCACAAACCAGTATTAATAAAATTAGTAGAACTAAGGTTCCACCCCAAAGCTCAGTCTTTCTCACTAATCGATTAAAACCAAAAGCCATATTTACAAATAATCTAATTGTAATAATTGATACGCAAGCTGGCCAAGGAGATCTCCCCACATCAGCTCACAGGTATCGATGAGGAATAACTTTCTTATTATTAATATTTAATTTATACTTAACCTATAAACTGGCCCCAAATACTTTCGCTTGGGATATTTTAGGATTTAAACCTAATAATTTTTATATAATTAAACCAGATAAGTAACTAAAATATTCAAACAAAGTTTAGTAATCCTATAAACACACAATGTATTAATATACTTAGAAACACTGGCCCGTTGTTTACTTTATTAATAGGTAATAAATGCCTAGAGGAACTTCCATGCTGAGTTAACAAATATAATCGTAACCTATATGCACCGGTTAAAACAGAAGCAATACCCACTAAAAAAAAATTAATATAATTTATTGACCCTAGACCTCCTATTAACCTAAGCTCGGCAATAAACCTGGGAAATGGAGGAACACCTATGTTAGCTGAACAGCCCATAAATATAAACACTGATAAGAATGGTCGAATATTTATCCAACCACGGTTAAAGATAAAACCACGTGATCCAGATAGATCGGACATAAACCCAACAAGTGCAAATAGAAGGGATGAGATCAGCCCATGACTTAACATTATTATGTAAGCACCGTGAAACCCCCATGAATTTCAACTAAAAATCCCAGAAACTACAAGGCCCATATGTCCTACAGAAGCATAGGCAATTACCTCTTTTATATCTACCAACCGAAGACAAATAATTCCGCTATAAATAGCGCCCCAAATACCTAAACTAATTACTAAAGAATTAATAATTCAGTGCCCATTCCCATATAAAGGAAAAACACGAAATAACCCATAAGTCCCTAGTTTAAGTATAATTCCGGCCAGAATTATTGAACCAAAAGTTGGGGCCTCCACATGAGCTTTAGGGAGCCAAAGGTGAAATGGATAAATAGGAGATTTAACAAGAAAGGCTAAAATCAGACAAACTCACCAAAGACCACCCATCATACCTCTAAATGGTGTTTTATTAAATAAAACTATTGAAACATCTCCAGCTTTATGGCTTAAACAAGCAAGTGCCCATAAAAGAGGTATAGAAGAGAATAAAGTATAAACAACTATATAACCACCCGCCACTAGGCGGACAGCTTCTCTTCCCCATCGTAAGATGATATAAACCATAGGTACTATTCTAAGCTCAAACCCGCAATAAAAAATAAGAAAATTGGGCCTAGAAAAAGATAAAGCAAGAGCTACTATGAGGAAAGAACAAGCTCAGGTTATTTCATTGCATGCTTTTTCCAAACCCCTTAGAATAGCTAAGGAGATAACTAAACACCTTAAAGCTAAAAGGGAGATTGATAGTGAGTAAAATAAAAAGTAAATAAACATTAAAACAAATTCTATCCCCAACAGAAAAAAAAATAAGAAATAAACAATAAGAGAAAAAATCAATAAGAAAGGAAAAAAAAGAACTTAATTGAGCTAAACCTAGTGAATCTATTGTTTTTACCACTTAGGGATTGGCGGAAGTGTTACCCGCACCCCAAGTTTTGAAAACCTGTGATCTAATTAAACTACAATCCCTTTCACTACTGATATGTATGGAGAGGTTGTAACAACCACCTGGGTGGCTTCAATACCCTATTCTAAATAAACTACCCCCACCTATAGAGAAAATAATCAAATCATAAATATAACTCACATTACAACACATAAAAGTCAAACCATAAAATAAAAGAAACCCCAAGATTTCTCAATTATCCTATCAATTTTAGATACTATCCAAGGATAAAAAGATGAATCTTTTTCTAAGACACTAGATTTAAATTTTTCATAGACTTTAATTTCAAGTTGCCATAAGTCTTTTAAGAAGACATTATAAAACCCTAATACACTATATATCTCTCATCACCCGGAATCACAACGCTCTGAGATATTTTTTCTATGATCACCAATTTTTTCCTTAGCAAGATCATTTCAACCTCTTATAAATAAATCTGGTGAATGGGGTGAAATTCGTGGGGCCAGCCACCCAATAAATGCTCCAAATACTATTCAAGAATTCGTTATATTATAGGAGCAATTATTTCTAGCTTTAATCTCTAATCCAGTGTTCACCCCGCTTAACGGGTAGATAATAAATGGGAGAACAGCCAAGCCAAATATTAACATAAAAACAGATAATGATCTTCATCATCTGAACCTTTTATATTCTACAGTAGGGTGTGTAGCCTTAGCAGACCTGAGTAAAACTATTACTCTAAGAAGTCGAGTCCTGTAGGCTACTGTAAAAAAAAACCCAATATATAGAACCAAAAGTACTCCAGCCCTAAATACTCCCCTCCTAAGACCCCTAATAAGTGCATGCTTCCTATAATAACACCCTACAAATGGAAAACCGACTAGTCCCAGTAACCTTACTAAGAAACCCACTTGAGCCATTGGTATCGAGTTTAGGCGACCCCCTAAGAAACTGATGTCTTGGCAATGACATCTGGCATAAATTACTATTCCAACACTAACAAACAGGAGAGCTTTCACCACAGCATGTGATGCCATATGTGCAAAAGCTAACTCTTTAAACCCAGCCCCTAGGTAAAAAAACATTAATCCAAGCTGACTTAGAGTTGACAGAGCAACAACTCGTTTAAGATCCGTCTCAAACAGTGCTATTAGACCGGGAAGCACTATAGTAATTCCACCAATCCCTAATAATAATCAACAAATTGGTAATACAACTCTAAAATTTTGAATTAATATATATACACCAGCTGTCACTAAGGTTGATGAATGAACAAGAGCAGAAACAGGTGTGGGTGCAGCTATAGCTGCTGGAAGTCAGCCACTAAATGGGGTTTGTGCCCTCTTAGTTATAGCTGCTAAAATAATACAAAAAACAACAATAACTGGAATACTCTTAGCTGATAAAAAAGCAGGATCTACACTTCCGTAGGTTAAGGAACAAAAAGTTAAGAAGATTAAAAGGAAAGCATCCCCAATCCGACTAGTAAGAGCCGTCAACATAGCCCCTTTAGAAGCGGATGAGGATTTATAGAAACTCACTAAAAGAAATGAGGACATACCCAACAAATCCCAACCTAAAAAAAGGCCAGGTAAATGGGGAATAAAAATAAGAGTTAATATTCTAAAAATAAAAAAAAAAAATAAAAAATAAAATCGAACCTGATTCTTCTCCCCCTTCATGTAATCTAAAGAGAAAAAGATAACCCCAAGTGCAATAAAACAAACCAAAGAGGCAAAAGTTGTTCTGTAACCATCAAAAATTACATCAATTCTCAGAACTGAAGAACCCAAATCTACTAGGTTGAATGAAAAAATGTCTTTATGATGATTAAAGGCATATTTTACTGCTAAAATGGGGGAGACCAAGGAAACTACTAAAAAAAAAGGAATTATCTTCAAAAGAGGTCAGCGGGAGTGTTACCCGCACTTTAAGTTTTGGAAACTAATGATCTAATTAATCTATAACCCCACCTAGCAGGGGGTGGTCTTAGACCACTCACCAACCTTAGGGGCTCAACTGCCTACCCCTGCTAAAATGACTCTCTAGGATTTAGGTTTACGACGTCAAATTCCTTCCCACCATTCACCCTCTGTTTTTAGAATAGGAGCCCAATCTAAAGCCCCCTTTAAGGCCTCAAACAATAGAGAAAAGAACAAGAAACTGGTAAATATGAAAACTGAAAGTGATGTAGCGGCCCAAACACCTGCTGAGTTCATAATAGGAAGTCTGGTAATTAAAATTACTTCAACATCAAAAATTACAAATAAAACTCTGATCAAAAAAAAACGAATAGAAAATGGAGTTCGATTAGGGGTAAGAGGACGAAAACCACACTCGTAGGGTGTAGATTGATTCTCATTTTTAATTTGCCCAGTAAATCCATTCTCTGATCTTAAAAGAAATCTTACTAAACAGTAAAAAAGACATGCAAAATAAAAACCAGAAAACCATATTCCAACAATTGGCCAGAGTGGAACACACCTAAAGTAAACAAGAATAGTTGGGATAAGTAAATAAGGAGCATAGACTACTGAAGTCATATTCAGAGCTCAGGAAAATAAGTGCTCCTGTAATCAGGTTTAAATACCTGAGTGATAAATTCACTAAACTATGATAGATTCTCTTATTTAATTATATTCAAATGATATACCAAATATAAAATCTTAAAGTAAGAGGGAGTGATCCAAGTCACATTATTTTTATTAAATGATCAAACCGAATTCGAGGAAATACAGCACGACAAAAAAGAATAAAAATTCTAACAAAAAAAGCTTTAGTCATAAAGTAAGCTTCTTGTAGCGGTGGATTAGTAAACATAAAACCATCATTTAAATATAAACTAGTAGTAATAACTCTAAAGAGTAATATATTTGAATACTCAGACATAAAGAATAAAGCAAAATGTAACCCACTATATTCTACATTGTACCCAGATACTAGCTCAGACTCAGCTTCCACCAAATCAAAGGGCCTCCGGTTTGTCTCAGCCAGAATACATGCCAACCACATTCCAAACAGGGGGGGAAAAGCAAGTGCGACCCAAATTCTTTGAGTAGGGGCTGCGACCCTTGTCATCTCTAGTCTATGGGTAAACAAAAGAGGAAAGACTAAAAGGAGACCTAACACAACCTCATAAGAAATTGCTTGGGCTAACGCACGAACCCTAGCTATTAAGGAATATTTCCTATTAGAGGCCCACCCAGCAATTATAATAGGGACAGCCCTCAGACTGATAAAGCATAGGAAAAGAAGAGCACTTACTTCAAGAGAGTAGGTACCCCAAAAAGGAAAAACTCTCCAGGCTGCAAAAGATAATCCCAGCCTAGCCCTTGGACAAAGCACATAAGCCAAGTGATTTCTCTGAGCAAGGCGAATTATATCCTTTATATACAGTTTTATTCCATCAGCTATTGGCTGAAGAACTCCACGTAACCCTACCACACCAGGTGACTGGCGACCAGCTACAAGAGACAAAATTGCACGCTCTGATAGGCTATAGAAAGCAATAATAATTAAAAGATTAATTTGAAATCTAAATATATATAGATAAATTGGTGAGAGAATAATTACAAAAACTCAAGGGAAAACCTAGTCGGGAAGGGGAATACCCTACCTGCAAGGCCACAACTCACCATTCTTTTTAAACTACCCCGACAAAAAATATAATAGTAACCCCTCCCGCTATTACGGCGGACCTCCTATTTGGAAGATAAGAATACTTTTTATACTAGAGGGGCAGCTCCTATAAGCTCCAGAAAATCTTAGCCTTTTTGGGGTTTTTTGAGTCAACAGCTAAGCCTATTCCCTTTAATTCATCATTAGTTATAGGACGTAAGGCTCCTTGTAAAGGAGAGATTAATTTCAAGGCCCCTGCTATTACTCCTGCTAAACTTGCTAAAATGATAACCATAAAAACACGATTTGACTTATTAAATAGAGGGAGAAAATATCCATCAGGACTTGATAAGAAAACCACCTCCTCAGTAGCTTCCCCCATTCAACCACCAAAAAATAACGGAATTACCCTTACAGCCAGGATAAGAGGAACAACTTTTAAAAGGTGTCAATCTATTTTCCTAATTTTCATTTCATCTGACGGATCTATTGCAAGCACATAAACAAAAGCCACTAAAATTACACCACCATAAATTAAAAATAAAATTGCACCTACCCATGGGTGAACAATTAAGGCTACTAAACATGAGCTAGTTACAAAAAATCTAATAAGTGAACAAGACAGTTGCATTGGAGTAGGAGAAATAAGTATTAAAAATATTCTAATAACTATTAGGGTTGCCAAAACAAGTGTAAAAACAGGTACCATAACTGAAGTCTGAGAAGTTGGCATTTTTAGGGAAGGCAGTTTATTAGCTGCTTACTCTCGGTTAACAGCCGAACGCCATAACATTGGCTTCTCCCCCACAAAATAAATTTTAAGAGAGTACCAAAATTACTTAGCAACTCCCGATTGAAAGTCGGGCGTGATTCTTTCACCAACTCCCCCCACAAAATCTTAGAATATATTCTAGGATCTTAAAAAACATAGGTTTCGCCCCGGAAGTCCTTGCGTACAATCTGGGACTAATTCGCAGATAGAAGCCAACCTGCCTTTCAACGGTCTGAACTCAGCTCACGTGGGGAATTAAAGGACGAACAGTCCCACTTGAACAGCTCCTGCTACCAGTTCAGTTTCCCTGAGCCAACATCGAGGTAATCTACCCGCACTTCAATGTGTCCTATCCATGCGACGATCTCTGTTATCCCTAGAGTAACCCTGCTCCTTTAGTCAGATAATCAGTAAAGACTATGGCTCATTGATATGACTAGTAATTCTTTAGCTTACACAAGTTTCATGTGCTGAACTGTTATCGGACACGAAGGCCCCAAAGACAGGAAGAGATTCTTATATATCACTGCATTCCCCAAGCAGAACTCTTATGTGAACCCTAAAGGCAACTTAAATATCAGTATATAGTTGAAAGTGAGTAAACCAAGAGTAAAGACTTCATAGGGTCTTTTTGTCCCGCGCAAAAATAAAGGCATGCTCACCTACAATTCAAATTTTATTTTTAATCCCGAGACAGTAGCCCCGTCATCTAGCCATTCTCTGGCCTCCAATTAAGAGGCATAGTTACGATACCTTAGGACGATTAAAGCCGCCGTTTACCCCGCAGGGCACCGGGCAGACAAAACGAATTATAATATTCAACCCGCGGTGTCTTTGATAAACAGGTGCGAGGCAAATTTGCCGAGTTCCTTAGGATAAAGTTAGACTGTACTTCAAATAAAATAATACGATTCAAAGTATAAAATACCGCATAGTACAATTATATTCAAGAATAATACGTACAAAATACTCATTTATCCAGTGTAATAAAACTTACAAACGTTAACTTTAGTTTAAAAATAAAATTTTAGGCTCAAACACCAGACAGATTCCAGGATTTTATAAGTTAATCTTGTCAGAACTCCACTTCTACTTGAAGATTCCCAAAAACCCACACTCCTTAATAAACCTTGCGGTATCTCCCACCAAAATTACCGTAAAAGCCTTACCCTTACGGCTAACAGTATACATAAAGATAAACTTTACAAGTTTATTTCCAATGTATCTGCCCCACTCCGGTGGGTTTCTCAGAAAACCAGCTATCCTAAAGCGCGACTAGCATATAACAACTATCACATACTCTAGACACCATCTTGCAACATAGAGGTCATGCGCTCTCAGCAGGTACATAATAGCTCACTCCATTTCGGGAAATAATAGATTCTTTTAAGGTCTTGGGTAACCATTATGCACAAGGTAAGGAAATAAATACATGCTAAAAAACAAATTACATTCCAAACTTTAACAATAAAAATGAACTATAGCTACAGGAAATACCTATGTTGAAAATAAAAGGAACCAGGATTGCGTTCAGCAAAGGAAAAAGAGAAAAAAAAACAAGCATAAGAGCCAGACATTTAGGTCTGGGTGAGATTGAAACTCACATAAAAGGGTTTACAATCCTCCGCATTATCTGCCACCAGACCTCTCAGGCGCCAGATGGACTCGAACCACCTCACCCGCTGCATCAATGCGGGGCCCCACCAGTTGAAGATGGCACCAAAAAAACTTAGTATTATTCATTATAGAGAGGTCTTCAGAAATAAGTAGTTATTTAAACCTTTTTCAACTGTATTAGCTTAATAAATTAGCATTTAGGCTTTCTATATTGGTTATAGTAAACATTTAACAAAATGAAGAATACATAAGCTTGAAGAAAGCAAATACAAACCTCAGCAGCAAAACATCCTATTGACAAAATAAAGACTAAGCCACCCTTAAATAATCTAACCTTAGCTAGCTTGGCTGAGTAGGCTAATACTCTTTTATATATAATATGACCAGCTATAGCATTTACCCTAAACCGTGCAGATAAAGTAAGAGGTCGAATGATATGACCTAAGATCTCTAGACATGCAAACGGAATGGCTAAAAATCGCGGAATAGAAGATGATAAAAACTCACTAGAAAGAAAAACCCGACCATTTCAAAAGCCCTTAACTACTAGGCTTGCTCATAAAACAACAGCCAAAGGGAGAGTGAACATAATATGAGCTCTATAAACTACACCTAAAGGAGTAAGACTAACTAAGTTAATAAAAAGTATACAAAAAAATACACCTGATAGGAATGGACCTACTCTCTTTCTTCCTTTAGGTACATATATCAAAGACTGATCCATCAAGAATTGGTTTAAAGACTTGAATCTTGATTGGAGACACGACCTCCAAATTCCTGTAGGCTTTAAAAATGGTATACAAATAAAAATAAATAAAAAAGCTAGAAAAAATCTTACCCACCCATCAAGGAAAAATCCCCTAAATAAAGAGTGACTTTTTTCACTATAAATCATATTTGTAAAATCAATTTTTCTCATTTAAACAAAGAAGGCAGAGGTATATCCTGCTTTTCCAAAATGGAATTTTGGTGCCAACCAGGCTTCTCCTCTATTGCACCTTACATACTTATTATCTTTAAAATAAGCAGATATAATAAAAATATGAAGTCTACGAATTCTATTAGTTTCCCCACCGGCATTTAAATATTGTCCCTTAATCCTTAATTTCTGTTTTTACCATAGGGGTGAGGAACTCAGCTCCAACAGAAAAAAATTAACTAAAAATATTTACATTCATGTCCATAGATTATTTTGCAAAAGCCGCAACAATAACAGGAATTTCAGGAAGGGGCTTCTTAATCTTAAGACATTCAGGCTCAATCAAAGGCAAAAATTGCTCATACCCACTCATAGGAAGGTCTTCTTTAGCCAAAGGGGGAAATCCTTCACACACAACTGTAGGGATAATTTTATCACCCTGAAGACACCCATACTGAACTAAGCTCCTATCAGCTGTACTAAACCATTCCATTAATGCTATAATTCCATATGTGAACTCAATAATGAATCACATATAAAAAAGTGAAAAAATAAAATAACATAAAGCAAAGATGTAATCTTGTTGCCGATTTGACATAAAGAGAAGGCAGGAAATATGTCCTGCTTTTCCAAAATGGAATTTTGGTGCCAACTAGGCTTCTCCTCTAATTATTTCCTCACAGACTTTCGGAAGTTAGTTCCCATACGAGAAAAGTTTAACTTTACAGGCCATTTTTTTTTTACAAGATTGGCCTTGAATAAAACTCATAAAAAATAAATATACTAAACCAAAAACAATGAATGAGCTAAAAAATCAAAACAAGCAAGGACCGATCATTGCCAAGATATCCTCAATTTTCACTGGATTTAAAGTCTTATAGGATTTATTAAGAATAAATGAAAGACTCAATTTCTTTATAAATTGAGTATAAATAGTATTTTCGTTCTTGATAACACACTGGAAACTTAACATAAACATCAAAATTGGATGGGAAAAACAGTCAATTAAGAATAAAAACTATAAAACCTATAATCATAATAAAAATCATAAGCCTATAATAAACCTCTAGACTAACTAAAGGTTTAACAAAATATAAAACAAACCCCCCCAAAAACACCGGCAAAAATAGTCCATTACTTATATCAACTAGAAGCCCAAAAACAATTAAGTTAGATAAAACTCTGACAATAAATTTAAAATCAAACTCTGGCATTGAGAAGAGGCAGGCAGCAGATCCTGCTTTTCCAAAATGGAATTTTGGTGCCAACCAGGCTTCTCCTCTATTGCACCTTACATACTTATTATCTTTAAAATAAGCAGATATAATAAAAATATGAAGTCTACGAATTCTATTAGTTTCCCCACCGGCATTTAAATATTGTCCCTTAATCCTTAATTACTGTTTTTGCCATAGAGGTGAGGAAGTCAGTTCAAACAGGGAAAATTTTTATTAAATAAAGCCAAAAACCTATAAATGAGCTAGAAAATCAAAATAAGCAAAGACCGATCAATGGAGTTCAAAAAAAAAAGAAAAAAACTACTTACGCCCCTGCTTCTGGCAAGGGACCGCCCTCAACCACAATTGGTTCTGGTTGGAAAAGCTCTGCTGCAGACATTACCGCCCCTGCTTCTGGCAAGGGACCGCCCTCACCCACAATTGGTTCTGGTTGGAGAAGCTCTGCTGCAGGCATTACCGCCCCTGCTTCTGGCAAGGGACCGCCCTCAACCACAATTGGTTCTGGTTGGAGAAGCTCTGCTGCAGGCATTACCGCCCCTGCTTCTGGCAAGGGACCGCCCTCAACCACAATTGGTTCTGGTTGGAGAAGCTCTGCTGCAGGCATTACCGCCCCTGCTTCTGGCAAGGGACCGCCCTCAACCACAATTGGTTCTGGTTGGAGAAGCTCTGCTGCAGGCATTACCGCCCCTGCTTCTGGCATTAGGAGTTTTGGTGACGTTAGCTCACCCGCAGTCGCCCCAAATTCAACCTCCGGTAGGGTCACAGAAGTCCGTGGAAGATTAATTGAATACTCCTTGACCAGCTCGACAAATAGATTAAGAGTTTCCGTCACATCGACAAACTCTCAAATAATGAATGACAAAAATATTAAGGAGATTAAAACTATAAGCAAGGAAAACCGCCACCAAGTAATACTGAGAAGGCAGGGAGTGTGTCCTGCTTTTCCAAAATGGAATTTTGGTGCCAACTAGGCTTCTCCTCTACACAAAAATAAATCAAGAAGACCCCACGGTGAGTCGAACACCGTAGCAAAGTTTTCAAAACACTGCCCCTCCGTAGGTATAGGGTCAAACTGATCAGCAACCACTCAAGGATACATTCGGGTTATGAGTCCGACGGTCTTTTTAACCTAGCCAACCATTTCCAAAAACCCTTAATTACTAGATTTGCTCATAAAACAATAACCAAAGGGAGAGTGAACATAATATGAGCCTTATAAACTACTCCTCTAGGAAAAAATATTAAACCAATTTTCCCCTAAGCTATTCAACAGGAAACTCAAGAGGAATAAAGAAGATGAAAAGAATATATGTTACAATACATATACACACAACAAAGATTTGAATCTTATTAAAAGTTTTTGGATCATCAATTAGAGGCTGGATAAATTTTAAAATAACAACCCTAAATACAATAGGTATAGAAGGAGGGAGTATAAGGGTAAATACTGAAAAGACAGTACAATACCTAACAACTTTTTTTAAAAATTCGTGAGTCCTACGCGACATCCAAGAGAAGGCAGAGGTACGTCCTGCTTTTCCAAAATGGAATTTTGGTGCCAACTAGGCTTCTCCTCTGAGGAATATCACAGACAATAAAGAAGCTATTCTAGGAATGAAAAAGCCTTTAAAACCTCCATCCATTAGGTTTAAATACTTATTACACGCAAAGACAACTTAAAATCACAGTTTAAGATAAGTCTACAGATCAAATTAAGATTTACTTAATATAAATAATAGACTTAATTGCATGATAAACTGAATTTAGAGAATACCTTGGCTCCGGACGACTACACTTAATCTCTGGGAAAAAGACAAATTCCACAGGAACAAATAGCCAATAAATTATAGTAACCGCAAAACACATGCATATAATAAAAATCATAATTTTATAGTAAGTTTCTAAATCAACTATGGGTTTAACAAAATATAAAATAAACCCCCCCATATATATTGGTAGAAATAAGCCATTAGTTCAATTGATTATAAGTCCAAAAACTAAAAGATTTAAAACAACCTTAACAATGAAATTAAAATCAATTTTCTTCATTTCTAAAGAGAAGGCAGCAACTGAGAGTAGCAGCTGAGGAAAATCACAGAAAAGAAAGAAGCAATTCTAGGAATGAAAAATCCTTTAAAACCACCAGCCATTAGGTTTAAATACTGAGTACACGCAAAGACAAATAAAAATCAGAGTTTAAGATAAGTCTACAGATCAAATTAAGATTTACTTAATATAAATAATAGACTTAATTGCATGATAAACTGAATTTAGAGAATACCTTGGCTCCGGACGACTACACTTAATCTCTGGGAAAAAGACAAATTCCACAGGAACAAATAGCCAATAAATTATAGTAACCGCAAAACACATGCATATAATAAAAATCATAATTTTATAGTAAGTTTCTAAATCAACTATGGGTTTAACAAAATATAAAATAAACCCCCCCATATATATTGGTAGAAATAAGCCATTAGTTCAATTGATTATAAGTCCAAAAACTAACAGATTTAAAACAACCTTAACAATGAAATTAAAATCAATTTTCTTCATTTCTAAAGAGAAGGCAGAGGTACGTCCTGCTTTTCCAAAATGGAATTTTGGTGCCAACTAGGCTTCTCCTCTAATTATTTCCTCACAGACTTTCGGAAGTTAGTTCCCATACGAGAAAAGTTTAACTTTACAGGCCAATTTTTTTTACAAGATTGGCCCTGTAGAAAGTAGAAAAAGTAGCTTCATAAGAGCTGGCTATCTACTTCTTAGCCTCAGGGAAACAGGGCCTACATGAACAAGGCTCGTCAAAGTTAGGTATCTCTGAGTTAATTAATTTAATCTCATCTATAAGTGAATCAAGGAAACACTTTATATATTCGTCAAAAATAAAGTCGATTGGAATAAAAAACCAATAAACAAACCAAATTACTACACATATACCGTAGATAAAAATACGAAGCTTCTCATAAACCTCCTGATCAACTAGGGGTTTAACAAAAACCAAAGTTAACCCCCCCAACATAAAGTGTAATAGATAACCACCTGTTATCCATCCAAAAATAAATAAAAAAAATGAATGAATGAGCACCTTGCGCATAAAATTCCAACCAAAGTCTTCCATTTCTAAAGAGAAGGCAGAGGTACGTCCTGCTTTTCCAAAATGGAATTTTGGTGCCAACTAGGCTTCTCCTCTAATTATTTCCACCAGCAATTAGATATTGTCCTTTAGTTTAAAATTATTAATTTTGCCATAAGGGTGTGGGAAGACAGTTCCAACACCATAAAAGCCTAAATTCACAGCTATCTTATCTTACTATTTCTTAAACTTAGAAGCATCTAACTCCCCTAAGCAATGCTCACCCAGATTGGATAACTCTGAAGCACTTGATAATTTTATCCACCCTATAAGGGATTTTATAAACCGCTTTAAGTTATCATCGAAAATATAATCAATTGGGATAAAGAACCAAGAAAGGACAAGAGTTACAAGACACAAACCTGAGATAAAAATCCGTAACTTGTTATAAACCACAGGATCAACCATAGGCTTAATAAACCACAAAATAAATCATCTCATTATATAAGGCATAAAATAACCCTTAGTTATAAGACTAAAAAAAAAAAAAAAAAAAAAAAAAAAAAAACATAATAGTATAATAAAACACAAAAAAAAAAAAAGTTAAAAAACACAAAATAAAACAAACTCAATAAAAAAAGGCATAAAATAACCCTTAGTTATAAGACTAAAAAAAAAAAAAAAGAAAGAACCAATTATTATCTTTATTACCACTGCTCGATTAAAGTTTTTCATCTGCTAAGAGAAGGCAGGGAGTGTGTCCTGCTTTTCCAAAATGGAATTTTGGTGCCAACTAGGCTTCTCCTCCATTGCACCTTACATACTTATTATCTTTAAAATAAGCAGATGTAATAAAAATATGAAGTCTACGAATTCCATTAGTTTCCCCACCAGCATTTAAATATTGTCCCTTAATCCTTAATTACTGTTTTTGCCATAAAGGTGAGGAAGTCAGTTCCAATATCTAAAATTCCCCAAACACAGGCCAATTTTTTTTTTACAAGATTGGCCCTGAATAAAACATAATTATATACCTACCAAAAAAAGGCATATAATTCAATCACTGGAGTGGCCCTGTCTTACACCGAAGAGGTCCCCAAAAACCTCAGCAAGCAATGTTGGCCTAATCATATACAAACAGCAGACCAAAGAAATTATATAAGAGATAATACATGAATAGTAGATTAAGTCATAACGTGGTATCCAAGAGAAGGCAGCAGATCCTGCTTTTCCAAAATGGAATTTTGGTGCCAACTAGGCTTCTCCTCTAATTATTTCCTCACAGACTTTCGGAAGTTAGTTCCCATACGAGAAAAGTTTAACTTTACAGGCCAATTTTTTTTACAAGATTGGCCTTGAATAAAACTCATAAAAAATAAATATACTAAACCAAAAACAATGAATGAGCTAAAAAATCAAAACAAGCATGGACCAATCGTTGGCATTAAAGAGGAAAAGTAAATAGATACTTGTACCCCATTATTAAACACTAGGCTCTAAAGATTTTTTCCCCCCTAGTTAGCTAAAAAATCCTCAATAGTTCACTTAATAGACTCAGGGAGATTATAGAAAATAGTAATTATAATGGAAACATATAGAATAAGAATCCAAAGCTTATAGTACAACCTTCGGTCAAGCTGAAATTTCCTAGCTTTCAAGGCAAGATTTAACAAGAAAACAGGAAAGAAAGCAAAATAAATAACTGTTCTATACACAGTTTCCTCTATAAAAGGCCATGTAGCCGGCTGACTTCCAACCCAAGTCATAATAAGCCAATTTCTCACCCAAAGAGCAAATAACATTTTTCCAACAGGACTAAACTGAGTTCCACCCTGTCAATGAGTTATAGGAACTAAAGGAAGAATGGCTAGCACTAAAATAGATAAAACTATTAATGCAACACCTCCGCCCTTAGTAGGAGCAGATCGCAAAATTGTATATACCCATAGGAAATATCACTCTGGAGTAATGTGTTTAGGCGTAGTTATAGGATCTGCTTTAATTCAGTTTTCACATGGAACAAAAGCTCAAGTATGGAATGCCCTTAATTTAATTAAATATCCTATAGCAACTAAGCAGAAAAAGAGATCATTACAAGAGTATAGAGGGTGAAACCTTCGTATACCCACCCCACTAGGGTCGTACAAACCTAGGGGATTTCTTGAACCTGTCTCATGAAGAAGACCTACATGAATGATCACTACAATTACTATAATAAATGGTAAAATAAAATGCAATCTATAAAAACGTGTAAGAGTTGCTTGTCCAACTGCATAACCTCCCCAAATTCACTCCACTAGACTAGGACCAATGTAAGGAATAGTTCTTAATAATCTAGTAATAACCACTGACGCTCAATAGGACATTTGACCCCAAGGTAAAACATACCCAAGGAAAGATGTAGCCATAAGCAATAGTATTAGAACAATTCCGGTGTACCACACTCCAGCTTGACGATAACAACCATAATAAATTCCACGACCAATGTGGATGTACATAAAGAAAAAGAACATAGAGGCTCCATTGATATGGAACCCTCGAATAAGAGCCCCATAATTCACGTCTCGATTAATATGAACAATTGAGTCGAAAGCGTAGTCTACATGAGCCACATAATGAGTAGACAAAAAAAACCCCCTAATAATTTGACACACTAACATAAGACCCAGTAATGACCCAAAATACCACCAATTATTAATGTTAATTGGAACCTTATAATCCCAAACCCTGTTATTAAGAAATTTTACTCATTTATTCTTACGACTAAACATCAAAACCATAGGAGCAGTCCCCTTTCACTTTGGATCATAAACCAAGTGTTTTCTAAATTTTAATGGCCTTCATTCAGGGACCAGGAGCTATTTTCCTGACCTCAAGTTCCCAAAACCTGCGTGCTAATTACACTAGACCCCGCTTCCTGATCCAGGCACACGTTCCCGTACGCCTACCTTGTTACAACTTACCAGCGGTCTCCCCCCGGGTGATGGGCGGTTAGTACACTCCCCGGTTGAATAGAATTCATAAGAGCTTCCTAAACTCCTATTACTTATAAGTCCTGCTTCCTGTGGCTATTTCAACCACATTTCGTTAGCCTAATATAAGCTATTTGTAGCTCAATCGTAGCCTCTGACATGAGGGACCTGTCGACTTGTCTTCTGTCTTAAGACTCTTCAAGGAACCAGCCTTAAAGAGGGAGCTGGGCAAAACTACTGGCTATGCCCCCTTTACGTTAGCTTCACGCACACTGATCGTACTCAAAACCACGCTTCAAGTATGGGCACTTGGAATTCTAAGAAAACAAGCATTATTTTTAGTCGATTCGCACCATAAGCTTTAGGCAGCGATATGACACCTGAGGTGGGTGGATTTTAAGGCTCTAGGCCACTCCCACCACCAGTCAGAGTAAGGTAAAACGGGGATCATCAGATAAAAGATCAAGCTCCCCTTATACCTTCAAGAAGCCGTCTACCCCTTCGAATTTTAAGCCTGGTACTGCTCGTAATCATCCGGTAGCTTGCAAACTCTAATATCTCATATGTCAAGGTTCTCCCTAAGGACCCCTACCACTGGAGAGGTAAGCATAATTAACGTCTGGGACTAGCGGGGTCTCTAATCCCGGTTGACTCTCCAATTTTCACAGATTCAACTATCAGAGTCTTAAGGCCCTCTTTACCACAATTTCGGATTGCACTCCTAGTTGGGCATGACTCTTCCGAAACTTTGCTTTCTTCTGCGTCTAACTGTCTCTTCTGCCGGCACTTTGAATCTGACCGGCACACGAGCATCCCCAGTGCCCTAGTCCGGCATAACATTCCTTCCCAGGGCACCTTTCAACCCGCGAGTTCCCGTGTGAATTTAACCGCGGTTGCTGGCATTCGACCTTTACCCCGGTGATCTAGCGTACATGCCAGCCAACTTGAGTTGCTATTTGAACCCCTCATGACTGGTGTAGTGGGTAACCCTAGACGTAATGATAGACTTGATGCCGCTTCCCGTAACGGTACAGGAGCAGTTGCTTAGGATCTAGTCCTTAACCCTCCGAACATTGCACGTGCGTCTTTTCGTTTCCACTCACTGGAGCGCTAAATCCTTACAAGGATAAATTCCAACAAAACTACCATGCCTTAATTCCTCTGACCGCTTGGCCTACACCAAATAGAAACTAGGGGCGAATTTACTTAGTAAGCCATGGGTGGAGGTACGATCCACATACTCGGGTTACAAAACCAACGCTTCTTGAAAGCTTCCACGGCTTAGTTTTACTCAAACAGTGGTGGTAAGTATGAATAACTTGGGTATTTTATATATGGAAGAAAAAAACGTCACCGTCTACGACGAAACTTATGAGCAATTGTTGTATTGCTCTTTAATTTCTTTTTTTGCATACAAAGAACAATTTGATAAGGAACCTGAAGCCAAAACGAACCAGTAGAAGCAATCACTCCAGCCCCCTTAGGGGTAAACCATATGTCATTATAATAAACAAACTCCTTATAAATTACTCGAAATAAACCAGGTTCTATCTCCTCTAAATCAGATTGCAATCACCAAATATCTTTAAGGCGAGAGATATTAAAATTTGTATAAGAAATTCTCGGAAGGCAAATAAAATCCCCTGCTCCATATTTCTTAAAGATATACCTTGAAAGAAATTTTCAATTTAACAGCTCTCACTCAAAAGAAACTAAAGGAGGGGAAATTAGATCATCAGGAAAAAAAAAAAGTTCTGTTTTATTAGGACATCGAAAATTTTCAACAAATTTTGGTTTAACTTTAAAATAACCTGAAGAAACCTCACTTAAACGATAAGCAGTCTTATAATAATCTATAACTAGAGGCCTATCAAAACCAGGACGAAAAGCAACAAAATGACCAGCAAATGGACACATGAGATCCCGACGCTCTAGGACATAGTGAACTAAAGCCGAAAAATCTGTCTCACGACGACGAGTTATACTAAGAATTCTCACTTGTCAGGCTACTCCAGTTACAGAGTTCTCCTTGGCGTAAGCAAGGCACATCTTACAATGCTTCAGCCCGAACAATCCAAGATAAAAACTCCAAATTAAGACCCTGCCCTGGGTGTGTACCCCAGTCCTTCGGGTGATGAGCCCAACGACCTAAACCATAGTCTAAGCAGGGAAAAATTGACAAAAGAGAGGTGGAACCCCTGTCAAATATATATAATTTAACTTAAATTTGGTTAAATTAGACATCCTTAAATGGTGATTTGACTTAATAAATTTAAAAATAAGGACCTTAAGCCCCCATACCCCCAAAAATTTCATTTTTCTCTATATAGAGGTAAACATCCGGCGTCCATCTTACGGGGGGCCCCTCTGGATAAGAGGTATATTTTCCACCCCGGCCCCCCGTAAAGAGAGGTGGAACCCCTGTCAAATATATATAATTTAACTTAAATTTGGTTAAATTAGACATCCTTAAATGGTGATTTGACTTAATAAATTTAAAAATAAGGACCTTAAGCCCCTATACCCCCAAAAATTTCATTTTTCTCTATATAGAGGTAAACATCCGGCGTCCATCTTACGGGGGGCCCCTCTGGATAAGAGGTATATTTTCCACCCCGGCCCCCCGTAAAGAGAGGTGGAACCCCTGTCAAATATATATAATTTAACCAAATATAAGCTAATTTTTGTATCCTTAAATGGTGATTTGACTTAATAAATTTTTAAAAAAGGACACCCCAAAAGGGGGGCTTAAACCTCCTAAAATAAGGCCTAAACTACGTAAAAATAGCCTCTTAACCACCAAAAATAGGCCTTAAACTTCATAAAAATGACACACTCCCTTAGGTGAAAGAGAATCTCTGTTTAATTTATGAACCTAAAAAAAACCGTAAAAATAGACCCTAAGCTAAAAAACAACAAACCAAAATCTAGAAAAAATCAACTTTTAAGAAAAGAAAGGAAAAAACCTGTCTAACACTTAGCTCCCAACCTATTTACCTCTAAGCTCTTTCCAAGACATAAATTACTCACTAGTTAAGGTGAAACCCCAGTTAAGCTCCCCATGATAACCTTATTTTTTAAAAATAAGGTGGCTAATTTTTTTTGAAGATACCAGGTTTGAAAAAGGGGAAAACCTTGTTTAGTGAAGTTTATTTAAATAAATTACAAAAATGGCCCAAAATCGTCATTTTTTAAACATTTCTCACACCCCATAAGTAAATTCATCGCTAGCCCTTTGAGAGTGGGGGAGTTCTTCCCCCCCTCGTTCACCCCCCCTATTGTCTTAATCTCAATCCATCTCTATATAACCCCCATGATAACCTTATTTTTTAAAAATAAGGTGGCTAATTTTTTTTGAAGATACCAGGTTTGAAAAAGGGGAAAACCTTGTTTAGTGAAGTTTATTTAAATAAATTACAAAAATGGCCCAAAATCGTCATTTTTTAAACATTTCTCACACCCCATAAGTAAATTCATCGCTAGCCCTTTGAGGGGGGGAGTTCTCCCCCCCCTCTTTCACCCCCCCTATTTTCTTAATCTCAATCCATCTCTATATACATGTATATAAGGAAAGAGTGGGAATTTTTAGTTAGAGAGGCTATGAGTTGTGAGTCTCTCACCTCTCATCTTTCCTACTCTTCCCCCTCTTTCCTTATCAGTGGTAGAGATGGGGCAGTTGACACAGCCTTAGTAGTGGGTCCTCTCTCACTTGGACCCTTAGCCGGGATCCAATGATCTAGGAGGCCACTCCTAGACCCCCCCCGCCCCCCCCCACCCTTTATGGGGGTAGGGGGCGGGGGCCCCCCGCTTTTTGGGTGGAAATCTCCTACATTGGATACCTGTTTTGAATGCCTTAACTCACTCCCCCCCCGCGTAGGAGTGAAGCATTCAAAACAAAGTATTCCAATGTATATTTGGAGATCCCAGATCCAAGACCCAGACTTAGGCCTCTGGCAGGCAAGATATACCTCTCACCTGTAGTTCCACTTGAATCTATGCCCTTAACATTTTTTTCCTCTCTCACCTGTAACCCTTGAGCCGGTTTTCCAACGATAATACGATCCGGGATATCAATCCCGACCCCAAAGACAAAGCTTTGTATGCTAACTACACTTAATCGTAAAAATGAAAACATAAAATTTTTAAAATAATGCGACTCAGGGATTGAACCCTGACTACAAAGACCATTCTATAAGCAGGGAGAGGGGGGGAATCGAACCCACCGACAATGTGTTTAGAAGACACTTGCCAAAACCAAATCAATCCCAAAGAAATATAAACAGAGGAGGTGGTTTATTAGCCACTTTCTTCCGGTTAAAAGCCAGACGCCATAACATTGGCTTCTCCCCCAAAAGCTAAGAAAAAAAATTAAAATAAGGACCTTAAGCCCCCATACCCCCAAAAATTTCATTTTTCTCTATATAGAGGTAAACATCCGGCGTCCATCTTACGGGGGGCCCCTCTGGATAAGAGGTATATTTTCCACCCCGGCCCCCCGTAAAGAGAGGTGGAACCCCTGTCAAATATATATAATTTAACCAAATATAAGCTAATTTTTGTATCCTTAAATGGTGATTTGACTCAAAAGATGGGACTTTATATTCTAAAAATTCTTAATCTTAAGTACTTTCTTATACCAGGAGAGTTAAAAGTAACTCATAGGCGGGTCTTAAATCCACTGCATTTATCTGCCACCCTGGCTTATGACGTAAGCTAAAAACCACCTATATGAAGCCAAATAGGGTTATCAGACCCTGACCAACGAATAAGAAGTACCAGTAAAACTAAACCTGTAGCAGCCTCAATAGCCCTAAAGGCTGCAATAACGCCTAAAAACCATAAAGCCCCAAACTTAAAAACTACGCAATATAGAGAAGCCCTAATAAATCTTAGCGATTCAAGAGCTAACAAAATTGATAATAAATGACCACGACGTGAAATTAATAAAAAAATATTAGTAATAAATACCAGTAATCAAACCGAAATTATTACTACCTTCATGTTTAAACCAATTTCTCAAACACCAGGAAGATGTGTTGAAGTTTTCATTCTAAGACACTGGGTAATTACTACCACTTTCCGGGTGCAAATCGGACTTCCTTACTTAGAATACAGCGCCAATTAATAAAAAAAAAATAAAAAAGGAAACATAAAAATTAAGATAAATATCCGAATATAATCACCTGCCTCCCACTTAGGTGTGGTAACAGGGTAAGAGAGTCTTGTGACCCACCTATGAACCCTCAGAGTAAATACCAAGTTTATATACAGTAGGGCACTTATGCCACTCCCTATAATCAGAGTTAATGAAGTTAACTCAAAACCAGACTCAATCAGGCTAAGGAGACCCACCCACTTTAGAAAAAACCCAGAAAGAGGAGGGATTCCTGCTATAGACAGTAATCCCAAACATAAGCATGCCCGAGTTGTTTGGCTAAAGTAACCAAATCTCCTAAAGTTTATTAATCCTGACAGTTCAAATATTGAAAACAAAGCAGTACAAATTAAAGCATAGGTTAAAAAATATAAGAGAAGAACCCATTCACTTGTTAAAGTCAAAATTGCTATTCAGCCGGCATGACAAACAGAGGATCAACCTATAAGTACACGAACTGAGTTTACCGTTACGCCTAGTATTCCCCCAATTCAAACCCTTAAAACCCCTGATAGTGCTACCAGTCACCAGAACTTCTGATTTAAATAATTATTAGCTATAATAAATAGGGGGCCATACTTTTGCCAAACAGAAACTATTAAACATCCACCCCACTCCAAGCTTGAGTACACCTTAGGTACTCAAAAAGAGAAAGGAAATATCCCAAGCTTTAAGAATAAACCTAACAGGATAGGAATTATTCAATATTTTGAGTCAAATGCCGACATAAAGCAAGAACTTACAAAATAAACATTAGACCCAATTACCTGAATGATAAAGTAGTTCACACATCCCAACACTGAGAGCCAAGGTATATTGTGTTTCAGAACAATTGGAAAAAAACATAAAAGTATCACCTCTATCCCAACCCACCCAGTAAATAAGTCTGTGCAACCTCTACACATCAGACCACCAGATATTATTAAAGTAAAAAAAAAGTAAGTATGAACTGTATTTAAACTGAAGATCCGCCTTCCAACTTCGGCCAAAACACAGCCGAACATCAAACTATAAAAAGCTCGATTTTTATGATCTAAGTTGGTCAAAAATCTTGGCCGGAAAAGAAGTAAATTAAGAAATAATCATGGAAATAACTGAAATAGTCATTTAGTTATTTTTTTTTAAAATCAATAAAAATAAGCAAAAATTGCTTCAATTTTTAGGTTATTTTTTCCTTAACTAATGAGTGTTTTACGCTCAAATAGCTAAAATAAATCTGACAAGCCTGTTTTTTCACCAAGGGGGGGGCCTTAGTGATTTTATGAAATTTGTAATTTTTATAGGTAAATTTACTGCTAATAAACCACTTTTACTCTTCAATTTCTTCTAATTTTATAAATTTTAAATAGGTAGCAGGAGTAACAATCTCTACACAAATAGGTATCATAAAATGATTAACCCCACATAACTCTCGACAGTGTCCATAGGCTACTCCCACAGTTCTAGCTAAAATAGGCCTCCGATTAAGTCGACCTGGAACAGCATCAACTGTAATCCCTAATGCTGGCACACTTCAGGAATGGATCACATCATCTCTAGTAACCAGAAGTTCACCAGGCATTCCTTGAGGAATCACAAAAGGAGCATCAACATCAAGTAAATAGGTATCTCCCTTTCTTAAGACTGTGTCATCATCTCTAGTTGAGGGGACATCATTTAATAGGGCATAAGAATCATGCTCAAATCCAAAGAATTTGCCCATCTCATCAATTATAGCATATTGATATGTTCAATACCATTGATGGCCAGTAATTACACTATGGAATAAGGTAGGCTCCTTATGCTCGCCATTTATATATAAAACATAGAAACTTATAGAAGCAATTAAATAAATTAAAAAAGCAGGTACAATAGTTCAAATAGCCTCTAAGAGCTCATTCTTAAGGTATTTTCGACAATGTCCCACAACACGTCCTGAGCTTAGCGCTATTACTAAGCCACAGACTACAGTAGTTAACACAAAACAATTAATAGTTATAATACACTCATATAAAAACTTTCTTAGCCTAGCAGCTATGGAGAAATTTATTGAATAATAAGTACCACCTCACTGAGACATTAAGACCCAGAGGGACTTTACCCTCACCAGCCAGGCCGAAACTGGCTATACTTGTTATACTACAGGCCCCTAGTAGGAGGGTACCGATACTCTCAGTAACACCTATTTGACAGACAGGTATGATATTTTTCACCAACCCTCCTTAAACCATGAGGGGGAGTGAACCCCCGTCTCCTGTGCCTAAAACAAGCATATTAACTCTACTACCATGGCCACTTTACCTACTCTTCAGACTCATCAACCCGTTCACCAAATAAACCTAATGGTGAAGCAAACTTAATATTTTGAGGTTTTCACTCTTTAGATAAGAATCGTCAAATAATAGCTGAAATATAGTAAGGCTTTTTTTCTTTGTGTTTATAGCAAACAAACTTAGGCATCTCACCGTTCGTATGTGAACCACAAGGTAACACTGTATTTCCTTCACCTGCACCTGTTCCGTAGTACTCAGATTCAGAACGAACAAAGAAGGCAAAGAGAAGAGGACGCTGTACAAGATAAACCTCCCAAATAGCAGAGATAAATAAACCTATGGCAAGATAAGAACAGAAACCACCCGTTGAAGAGATGGCTTGCCATACTCTGTGAATATCCGGATAATCTTGATACCGACGAGGTATCCCCGTTAGACCTATTCAATGTATAGGGAAAAACGTAAAGTTTACTCCAATGAATGTGAGTATAAAATGAGTTAAAACTAAGTCTTTTCGTGGAACTATTCCAGTTCAAAATGGGAATCAGAATCAAAAGCCACCAAAAATAGCAAAAACCGCACCCATCGATAAGACATAATGGAAATGGGCTACAACATAGTATGAATCATGAAGGAGTGTTCTTAAAGCTGCATTAGCAAGAATTACACCAGTTAATCCACCAATGGTAAACAAAAGAACAAACCCAATTGCCCAAAACGTTGATGGGTGACTATGCTTTAAACTATAAACGCCACCAAAAATTGTAGCTAGCCAATTAAATACTTTCACGCCTGTAGGTACTGCAATTATTAGAGTAGCTGCTGTAAAATAAGCTCGTGTGTCAATATCTAAACCTGCTACAAACATATGATGGCCTCACACCAGAAATCCTATTCAAGCAATCCCTATTCTAGCCCATCTCATCCCAATTTTCCCAAATACATGAAGCTTAGCCGAAGAACGGCATAAGATATGGGAAATTACCCCAAAAGCTGGTAAAATTAAAATATAAACTTCTGGGTGTCCAAAAAATCAAAATAAATGCTGCCAGAGGATTGGATCACCACCACCCTCTGGGTAATAAAACCTAGTCCTAAAATGCCGATCTAATAATAATAAGGTTAAACCTGCAGCCAACACAGGAACTGATGTAACCAATAAAATTGATGTTCCAAACAGAGTCCAAATTAGCATAGGGTTCAACCTCATAAAAAAGAGAGCTCCTATACGCATATTAAAAATAGTCACCAAAAAATTAATTCTTCCAGCAATTGATGATATCCCTGCTATGTGGAGAGAGAATACTGCCAAATCAACAGGTAATCCATCTATAAACTCCCTATTCCTTAGGGGTGGATACATAGTTCAACCACAACCTAACCCTCCTCTCCTTATAAAAGCCATACACATAAGAAATAAAGACCCTAATGCTAGTCACACTCTTAAGTTATTTAATCGAGGTATAGATAAGTCTTTAATCTTAATCATTAATGGAATAAACCAGTTTCCCAATCCTCCAATTCTTGTGGGCATAACAAAAAAAAAAATTATCATAAAAGCATGTATAGTTATAATCCTATGGTATATATACCCAACTTGAAGCCATTCTCCAGGATGGCTAAGTTCAATCCGTATACAGTGGCTTAATCTAAGACCAAATACCCCAGATCAAAGCCCTATATACAAGTAAATAGTCCCAATATCCTTGTGGTTTACTGATTTTAATCAACGATGAGTTCACTCTTTCAC